GACAGCTTTTTGGGGAGCCTTGGGGGTCTTTATGTTGGCATTCGGAAACATCGTGGGGGTGTTTTTGGGGCCCTCGTGGGCCGTTTTGGCGCCTTCGTGGGCCGTCCTAGGGCCTTCTTGGGCCGTCTTGGGGAGCTTGGGCCCGCTGGAGCCGCCTTTGGACCCATCTTGGGCACTTCCGGGGACCTCCCATGGCCCTTTTGGGTCTATGCTGGGAGCCCTTGGGGGGCCTCTTGGTTCCATTATGGGCTGTCTTGGGGCTTTCGTGGGCGATCGTGGGGCCCGGCTCGGCCGTCTTGAAGCTTTCTTCGGGGCCTTTGGGGGCGTCTGGAGGCGATCTCGGGGGTTTTGAAACCGTTTTGAAAGCTGATGAAATCCGAAAGGCGAAGATGCTAAAATTAAGTTATACGAAGGGAATGGGACGATGTTTGTGCTTTGAAGGCCCCTTGGAAAGCTTTTTGGGGTGCCTTGGAGGTCTTTGGGGCCGTCCTGACGCAATTGGAGTCCCTCTTGGAGCGCTCTTGTGCTGCCTGGGGCCTCCCTTGAGCCTTTCTGATGACCCTTCGGATCGCTCTGGGTCTGCTGGCAAGGCGTATGCGGAGACCCGGAAAGCCGGGTGACCTTTTCCAAGGACGTCCAAGGGAGCCCGAGAACCCCAGATCCCGGGGGTCCAGTTTTTTTTTGGGGGGGGATGGTTTCCCACCCCCCCCACGGGCTTGTAAAAATATAGGAAGAGGAATATGAGCATGAGTAGAAATACCCCAGCATACATACGTACAGACGTATATACGTGCATACACACATGCATACATATGTTCATATAAACATACGTGCATGGAGACATGCATGTGTTTATGCAAACATACCTGTACGTGTACATTCATACGTACATGCATGCATCCATACATGCATGTATGCTTACATAAAGCATGCATGCACACACCGACATGCAAACTTACAAACAAACATTGTACGCAGACATGCAAGCACACGTTACAGTACAAGTGCAAATAATACATACGTACATGCATGCATGCATGCATGCATGCTGCAACATATTCATGCAGACATATAGACATGTATGCATGCGTGCGTGAATACATACGTGCAAGCATGCACGCATACAAGCATGCAAACGTACAAACATACATACAGACAAGCATCACATACATTACATTACAATATATATATATATATACACATACAGGCATACCTACATCCATCCATACATCAGTTCACCCATACACACATACACTCACACATGCACACATACACACCAACACACATACATACATACAAACATATAAGCATACATACATACATACATGCATACCTACATACATACAGGCAGGCAGGCAGGCAGGCAGGCAGACAGACAGACAGACATACATACACACAGGTGCACACATGCATGTATACACGGATGGGGCGCCCTTTTCCAACCGGGGATGTCGCTGGACACATCGAGTAACTGTCTGATCATACTATTGCTCATTCCCGGCGACGCGGTAGCAGGATGGAAGGCAATTCATGTTTCAGCGCGGGGCCCTCGTCTGAATGGCGGGCCCGTTGGGTGCGGTTCGGCGTTGGGTGCGGTGCGGTGCGGTGTTTGCAGGGACATGTAAAGGGACTTGGAATGAGAGGGTGGATTGCAGCATCGCTGATGCATCTTGGGTTTCCCCTGGTCTTCCTCCTCCTCCTCCTTCTCCTCATCCTTCTCGTCCTCCTCCATCTCCTCCTTCTTCTCCTCCGCATACTCGCTCTCCCTTCCTCACTCCCTCACTCCCACCTCTCCCCTTCCTCCCTCCCCCTTTTCATTCCGTATTTCTCCTCTCTCTCCCTCCCCCCCCCCCACGGGCGCGCGCCGCGCTGGAAAAAATATCCTGGCGAAGGGCCCAAAAATATTGCGCAGCGAGCACCACAGTCGAGAGGAGGAGGAGGAGGAGGAGGAGGAGGAGGAGGAGGAGGAGGAGGAGGAGGAGGAGGAGGAGAGGGTGGCGGGATGGGAGGAAACGCGGAGCGCTGCGGATGCAAGACGAAGTCCCAACTGATTACAATATTTTTGGGAACAAGAATAAACTCGGGACTGACTGGGGGCCCACGAGGAGGAGGAAAAGAAGGAGAGGGCAAGATGGGGAGGGGAATTTGTAGAAGGGACGGAGGAGGTGGGGGGAGGAGGAGGAGGTGAGGGAGGAGGGGTTGCAGGAGAAGAAAGAGAACGACGACGACGATGACGAGGACGAGTAGCAGCAACAGCAGCAGCAGCAGAGGGACCAGGAGGCGCAGGAGGAGGGGTAGGGGGAGGGCGCACCAGTTCGGAAAACGTCTGGCCCAGTCCCCACAGCGTATTAGGACTGCGCACGCCTGCTTCAAAAGGCAGGAGGCGCCTCAAAACAAAAGGGGCCGGGTGCTACCCTCCCCCCTTGCGCGGTCGAAGAGGACCCCGACTGGAAAACAAAGCGGGTAAGTGGTGAACAGACCACTCTAGAGCCCGTCTACACACCCGAAAGCAGGCACAAACTGCTAGCGCGCTTTGGCGTGCGCACTTCGGTGCCTCAGTAAACCGTGGCGCCGCCTCGGGGTATCCCCCGCGGCGGCCCAGTATGACAGCTACGCAGTAGTTGCCACTTGTTTTCGCAGCACATTCGGGAGAGAGGACGCTAGCACTGGTGTGCTGAGCGGTGAGCACCACAGTAAACCTGGAGGTTTCCCTGGAGCGACTGCCCAAGAGAAGCTGTATCGGGAGCGGCCAAGAGGGGGGTGTCCAAGAGGGGGGGTGCAAATCATGACCAGCGGCATGTGCGCGGCCCAGCGGGGGGGCCAGGGACGTAATGAAATAAGAAGAGGCGCCATGAAATCTGGAAAAATATCATGGCCCCCGCCATGATATCCCCCCCCTAGTCATCACCCCCCTCTTTTTCGCCCCCGACGTTAGGGCGGAAGGCCTGCTGGAGGCCATTTCAGGCGGCCTACTTTCGGTGGAACCTGTCTGCCAGAGGAGTAGACTGTTCCTTGATGGCTTGGATAGCTTGAGGAAATTTGGTCGGCTCGCTGCTGCAGCGCCGCGATGCTAGCGATGAGGGCCGTTTCGCGTCCCCGGTCTGGTTGTTGCCTTGCAGCCTCGAGGTGATGCGTGAGGGGTAGCCGTCGGTCCGGTCGCTGCGTCACCGTTCGGCCGAGGTCGAGTCCGCCTCGGGCTGTGGGCAGTCCGCTGTTCCGCGCACAACAGATTGGCTGTAGGGGCCAAGTCTTGGCAAACGACCGCCGCATGAGCTGACGCCAGGTTGTTTTTCGTCGTCCGCGACGTGCCCGTGAAACCTCGTGGTGAAATAGTGTTGTTTCCATCGTCGTCATTCAAGGACTCCGGGCCCGCGTGGGCCCTGCTCTTCGCCTTCAAAGACGTTGAGTGGGGTTCCCCGAAGGTCGTCGAAATCGTCGAAGACGCGAAGCCCTGGTGGTCCATGCGGCTGAGCGGGGTTACCCGGTGAGCCAGATGGCTCGTATCTTCCTTGCCCTAAGGCGAGCGGGTTGGGCTTCATTTTGCTGAGGTCGGCCCGAAGGTAACCCGCCCGCCGGCCTGGCAGAGAAAGAGTGTGGTGGCGCCCATCGTACATCGCATGGCGTTGGCGGTGCTGTGCAACACCGCCGCAAAGTTGTGTCGCCATGAAGCTGCATCGGTGAGACTTGGTAGCTACGCGTGAAGGCGCGGTGCGGCGGTGGCGAGTACATCGGCATGACGGCTGAGAGCCTCAGCGATAGGTGTAAGGCGGCCTTCGTTAATGCCTTGCTCGCCGAAGTGGCTTTCGATATTTTGGACCTTGAAAATGTCCAGCTTGGCTTGGAGAACGCGGTAAATATTTTGCCAAAAGTTCAGCCTGGGCCCCCCTGACTTGCGGTGGTTTCCCTGTGGCAAGGTCCTCGAATACATCGACAAAGGCTTGGCTGTCTGCGAACATGTGGACAGGCCGCTCAGCATTAGTCATTAGTCACAAGGTGGAGCATGGCGAAGGTATCCGTCCTTTGTGCAAGCTGAGCCCAGCCGTGCACTCGAGCCGAATGGTCCAGCCGGTGACCCCGCCCGTGGTAGACTCCGAAACCCGCCATGGCGAGGAGCGGGTGGGCTTGGTGCGTGCAGGCACTTTGTGTGGCGGCGTACCTTGCTCCCGCTTAGTAAATACACTCCTCGAACGGATCCTCGTTAGGGCCGCGGGAAAGGTTGTGGGAGCTCGTCTTATGCAAATATGGCCTCGAGATCCAGCAATTGAAGGTCTTCCTCCAGCAGCCCGCAATGCCTGGCGTGCGGCGGAAGGTCACTCCATCGGTGGCCTGTGACCATAGTTTTCACGGCAGTCCCTTCCGCCTCCCAGCACGGGCATTTCCAAACCGTGTGGTCTTGGCTTTCCTCTTCTTGATTGCACCATATGGACAAGAGCGGTGGGTCGGCCGACATGCCAGAACGGACTTTCCTCTGCTGCGTGTGATCGTTCCAACACAAGGAATTGCAAAGCAGGCCAAGCTGCCAAGTCGTACATTTTGTGTAACCGTCGGTTCTTTGCAACAAAATATTGGCAAAGTCGTCAAAGCCCTGCTTGACCGCGGCGACAGCACCCAGGTCGTGTCGGGTGGTGGGTACACGCTGGAGAAAGGACCGTCTCTGCGAGGTAAGGCGCATATATATATATATATATAACACAAGCAAGCCGACCGGTATATGTAACCACGACAGGCGGATGCCCCAGCAATCGTACATCGTGCCACAGGATGGCCAACTCCATTTCAAATGGGCCATGGCTTGCCAGACACTGCCAACGGGACCCCCTCCCCTTGGAAGGCTTCCGCGTAGACGCGCAGCTCGTCGTCTTTGGCGTTGAGATTGGTGTCTCTCCGCACTTATCTTCGCGAAGGGGCAGCGGGAGAAGCAGGGGGGGGAGCGGCAGGAGGGAGGGAGGAGAAGCCAGGGGCTCAGGATAATCAGGAGCAGGAGCAGGCGCGCGCAAGGCCTTCAGGTCGAACCAGTCCGTGCCGAAATCGCAATGGACATCCCGGGCGGGCAATGCGCCCGCGCCGGGCACCTGGGGCACCCCGCCCGCGCTGCGTGGAGGCCCGTTCGCGTGCTCCCCGTCCAGCTCTGCTCGGCTCTGTTCCCTCCCTCCTCCTCTTCGGACAGGTCCTCCTCCTCCTCCTCCTCCTCCTCCTCCTCCTCCTGTTCCTCCTCCTCCTCCTCCTCCTCCTTCTCCTCCTCCTGTTCCTCCTCCTCCTTTCCTCCCTCGTCCCTCTTCCCTCCTCCCTCCTCCCTCCCTCCCGCCCTTTTCCTCTCTCCCTCCACCTCCACCTCCTCCACCACCTCCTCGTCTTCCTCCTCCTCTTCAGCATCATCCCATCACTGCCACCGCCACCACTACCAACAACAACACCACCACCACCACTACCACCATCATCATCACTATCAGCATCAGCATCATCATGAGCATCAGCATCAGCATCAGCATCAGCATCAGCATCAGCACCATCATACTCGTCATCATCATCACCTTCAGTATGAGCATCCGTATGATCCTCCGCACCATCACCACCATGTGGATCATCATCAACATCCTCATCATCACATCAGTCCCATGATTATCACCATCATCAGCAGTATCATCGGCAACATCACCATCATCTCCATCCTCATCAGCAGCATCATGAACATCGTCGCCATCCTCATCATCATCATCATCAGCATCATTATCATCATCATCATCCTCCTCATCATCATCATCATCAGCAGCATCAGCATCATCATCATCATCATCATCATCATCATCATCATCATCATCATCATCGTCGTCGACACCTGCATCATCATCAGCAGCAGCATCATCAGCATCATCAGCATCGTCATCGTCATCGTCATCATCCTAATTGCCGCCGTCACCGTGAGAATCATCATCATTACCATCATTACCATAGTCATCATCATCGTCATCCCAATCATCAGCAGCAGACTCATCAGCATCATTATCATCATGGCGTTTGTTTTCGGCAGTCGCGCGCCAGAACGATCTGCGTGTGCGCTGGCGCAAATATCAGAGCTCCCCCAATCGGCGTGGGCCCACCCCAACGACGGCGACCCAAGGGGCCTGTCACGCCGAAGGGGGGCCCCACCCCAACGACGGCTACCCCGAAGGGCCTGCCACGCCGAAGGGGGGGCTCTACCCCAACGACGCCTGCCCAGAAGGGCCAGCCACGCCGAAAGGGGAGCGCCAGAGTCACCAAACGGCACAGGCCCTCGGGGGGGCGAACCTACGCCGGGGGCCCCACCCTCAGCTCCACCCTTGGAGACCTGCGGACCGCTCGTGAGGGGCCCTGGGTTCCATGCGGCAGGCTGTAGAGGGCGCGCGCCTTCCCGCCAAGGGCAGGGGGGGCACAGTCCCGATCCTGATCCCTGGGGTCAACGCGGCCCTATAGGATCAGGTCTCTGAGGGCACAGCCTCCACACTCCACCTTTCCCTTGTTGTTCTGGCTAACCAGCCGCACAAGGTGAACTGGAGGCACCCGCACCTACGACCTGGTCCGTGCTCATAGGGCTTACCAGAACATAGGGCTGCCCGTCGGGCAACCCCCCAAAATAAAAACTCCACCCCGCCCCAAGATGGCGAACTAGCCGCCTTGACAGCACCCATGAATTTCTGGATTGCCTCCAGTTCTTTAAACGTAGAGGAGGCTTCCTGGTGCTCCAGTAGGGCATCGGTGATCTGTGTAAATATATATATATATATATATATATATATATATATATATATATATATATATATATATATACAGTTGTGCGTGTGTACATATATTCCTCTTCCTATATGTTTATAAGCCCGGCGGGGGGGGAACTCCCCCCCCCAAAAAAAACGGGACTCCCGGGATCTTGGGTATTGGGACCCTCCGGACGGGCCTCGAAGCGGCCCCCCGGACATCGCAGGGCGTTTTGCCAAGCCTTCCCAGCACACCTAGGGTGATCAGGGGGGTCATCAGAGACGCCCCAGAGACCCCCAGGACAGCACAAGAGCGGCCCAAGAGTGACCGACGTGACATCAAGATGGCCCAAGAGGCCTCCAGGACGGCCTCAAAGAGGCTTCCAAGAGCACTCCCCAAAAGGCACCCAGAGGCAAAAATCACAGATTGTCTGTAGTTGCTTTTGTTTGTGAATTTGGGGGTTCTCCTCTTTTCGGCTTCCCGACGTTCCAAGACGGCGGTCTTCTGGGCGTCCGAAGCCGCTTGGGAGGCTCCAAAATCGCCCCACAACCATCCGAAAGGGCTTCTAGGCAGTCCAAGAGAGCCCCAACACGGCACAACACGGGTCCAAGATGGCCCCCAGAAAGCCCCATGGCGGCCCAAGATGGCCCCAAGACACCCTCCGAAGCATTCCAAATCGTGGCCCGGTCGTTCAGGGAAACCGCTGTTGGAGGCAGGGTGGCCCGAGGAAGCCCCCAGACGCCCCCGGAATACGCCCAGGAGGCCTCCTGAAGGCCTTAAGAAAGCCTGAAACAACTTTTGTGAGGCCCCCAGTGGCTCTCCAAGGAGGAGGCTCGGCAAAAAAGAGCTGAGGAGGGCGGGGAGAATGCAAAGGGCATAGCGAAAACGAGGAAAAAGAAGCATGGAGGAAGGACAACGAATAACATGTTTATAACGGCGATGCCAGAGAAGGCAGCAAAGAGTTATCGCTAAAGCGTCGGCTGGACCTTCCTGCTATTCCGCCTGCGTGCCAAACTTCAAGGACCAAGGTGCATGGCGCGAAGCGCCACTGCAGTCTTACACGCACATACACACACATGTGTATATATATATATATATATATACACATATACATATATACAAATATACAGATTCGGGCTGCTTTGATGCTTGTCCATCGACTTCTCGGGGGGGGCCGTCGGTGCCCCCCCCCTTCGCTCGGTAGCGACGCGTCGCCCCGCCCATCCTTAGGCCGCGCGGATTGAACCCATGCGCCGACAGACCGAGGACCCGAAGGGCCCCATAGAAGAACATGCGAAACACATGGGGGCTGGGCAACCAAGGGGCCCACAGGCTGGAGCTTCTGGAGAACTCGGGAGAGCCACTTCACGAGGACAGCTTCGTCGACACTTACAATCTCGTGCGGATTAAGCGTTTGTCCCGAGTTTGTGCGACGAAGAGTGATGACTGCACTTGTTCTTGCCTTGGCGACCGTGATGTCACGCTTCCGAATTCCCAAGACCTCGCCCGTTCGCAGTGCGCAATGGGGCGCCACTGCGGCGGCGAGCGCAGAGCACGGGCACCCCGCGTCGAACATCACCCCTGCGGTTGCCAGCGCCACCGCCTACGTCAACGACGGAGCCCGCTCTGGCAGCTCGAGCTTATCCCAGGCAGCCCCAGGCGCCGCGCCGACGGAAGGCGGGCGTGGGCAGCCCAACCCTTCGGCTCGCCCTCGCCCCAGAGATATTCGATGCACTCTGCGCGCAACTGGTCCAGCAGGTCAGAACTGATGACGCTCGGCCGAGCTGCCCGACCATGCGCCAATCCGATGAGTTCTGGAGCAAAGTCAGCACATTGCGTCATCACACACTTGGTCAAAACATTGTCGCTCAGCCTGCCCATTGCCGCTCGCGCCGCCTTCCTTGCCCCCTTCGCGCCCTCGGCGCCACTCGATCTCACCCTCTTGGCACCCATGGCGGCCTGCTTGGCTCATCGGCGGGATTGTTCGCCGCGCGCGCATAGATGTAGAGGGGGCGTCGAAGGTCACGAGGCAGAGGCCACTCCAGCGGCGTAGCACGGCATTGAGGCGGCGAGACGACGAGCGGCCTTCCGCAGCGACCGCCAGTCACATGCGAATCCACGAAGAGACAGACCCTTGCGCCGAGGGCTTTGACATGGCACATGCGCCAACGCAGTGCGCTGCGCGCGATCTGCAGCTCAAGCTCGTCGGCGCGGCGCGAGCGATGGAACCGCATGGCCACTGCGCGCTTCCAGCACTAGCGGCGCTGGTCGACACTGACACGCGGCCAGGCGCTGCACCGGCACGGCAGCCCGATGTCCAGCCTCGCACCGCTGCCACGATGATTGGGCACGGCGTTGCATCTCGAGCATCAAGCTGTGCATGAGCTCGTCCGAGCTCCGTGCGCTCGGAGGCTGCGCCTCGGCACCGAATCTCTGCGTGGCTGGTGCGTCGCGGTCCAGCCGCTGCTGGTCCAGCACGCGCGTCTTACGCCTCGCCGCGCACTTGCAGAAGGTGGCCTGGGTCACCGACGGCGTCGGGGATCGCCCCAGGAGCTCGGCGCGGCGCATGCCCTGCCCGACGAGCCACGCTGTCACCCCCGCGTGGAGCGCGTTCTCGAGCTGGGAGCACCTCGTGTATTCGAGCTCCTCGCGCTCCCAGGGCTCCAGCTTGCGCGAGTCCCTCTTGCCAGCAAGCGTGCGCCCAGGCAAATGCCCCACGGGGATCTCGCGCTCCGACGCCGTCGCCACAGGTGAGCACCCACCCGCCGCCGATGCGATACTGCGCCCGGCACTGTCCCGGCGCAGACCTGCGGCGGCCCTCGCTCCAGTGTTCACGGGTGATCGCGTCGCGGCCCTCATCGCCCCTCGGGTCTGACCCAGGCTGCGCCCGCGGCATAGTTCGCGTGACAGAGGGGGCCTCTGGCCCAGGCGCGCCCCACGATCGGCCCTCGCCCAGCCACAACGCACGCGGCCCGAGCTCAGACGCAGCGAGCTCGACGAGGTCTGCGACGTCACCCACGGTGACCACGACCCCATCAGTTTCGACCACAGGGCAACTTGGCCAATAGAGCCGCGGCCTCGCCACGGCCGGGACCCCCGGCTGGATCGACGCACAGGTGGCAGCGCGCCATCGCCTCCGACAGCGCGACGGCGTCGCTGACCTTCATCGAAGCGACGCTCTTGCAACACCGAAAACAAGGACGTCGTGAAACGCCACCCTCAGCTCAGCTTACAGCCGAGGCACCTGGAAGAACAGCGCCGAGCGCGGGGCGGCCAGGCTCGATCCCTCGGGGTTCAGCCCACCGACTCCCGCGACCGCAACCGCGCCAGGATAGGCGCGCCG